GTATAATAATAATGAAAAGCTTTTATTTTTACCTAGCGGCAATGAAAAAATGTTGTTCTTCCATGCCAACCAGGGCCGCATGTAGATATACAATATTCAATAAAGTATATACAAGGGTTGTTCCAAAAATAAGGATCCCACATTTTTTTCAGGCACAAGGAATTTTTTATTAAAAAAAACAGATTCATCATTTATTTTTCTCAATAGTCGACCTTTTTCTGCGTATTATTTTAGATGTGAATACCACTTTTAGACAACCCTCGTATTTTATCACAGAACTACAAAAAGTAAAGAGTCTTTCGTAAAAAGTGAAATGAAAAGGAGTGAAATTAGTGTTAACACATTGATAAAATGATTTATACATGCATAGACAAGACACCTACACAGTCACATCAAATAAAATTAAAAAAAAAATCACCAGCTGGTTTCAAAAAAAAAACGATTCCAGGTTTAAAAGCACTGAGATACTGGGAGGAATCTTGTTATATAAATTAAATGCTAGATATAAAAAGGAGCTTTTGAAAGTTGTTGCATTGTGTTTGGGAACATTCAAATCTCAAATTAATATCATGAATGTCAGTTCTAAGATTTTCATGCAAGTAAACTGGTTGTTTCCTTAGTAAGAATGAATGAACCGTGATAAGTCCATCTTTGTCTGATACTGAGCCAACAACTACTTTTAATATGAGGATGTTCTTTTAAATCTCCTAAGACCGTGAATATACCTCATGCAGCAGATTTGCACCTTTTGTATTCGTTGAGCTTCCGTTTGAATCAAACAAGGCCCATACATACAACTTTGTTCAGTATATAAAGTTTAACTGAACCACAAACATAGTAGACAGAGATTTCAGAAACTGGTACATAATTTTTTGGATTCGTTTCTATATTCATGGTGGCATCACTATACTAGTTTCGATTTTGAAAGAGTGTGTTTTGAGTATTTTTCTACGAGTAAACTGATGTTTGTTTGAGTCGAAAGGAACATACAAATACAAAAAATATGCTCGAGTTGCCATTATTTGTTCCCCATGAGGATTTCGACGCTATTTGAATGAATAAGCGTCTACATAAGCCAACAATCTGAATCTATAATCCATAAAGTTATTTAGGTCAGAAAAGCAATCTAAGATTCCTTGGACGGAATCATTTTCGACTATTTCTTTCCAAAATTGGTATGCTACATATGTCAAAAAGTGTCCAACACAAGTAGTTAAAATCCAGTTTGCTTTCTTGCAATTCGGAAGCTCCCTATGTATAAACTAACAACATAATGCTTATAATCTAGTTTTTTCTTGTTTACACAAGAGAATGCTCAATATTATATGAACATAACATAAACTGTGTATTACTGTGACACTGTTCATCGCAACAATGCAATTTTGCATTATTTTAATGATGAAAATAGATAATTGTTAAGTAGCCATTTCTTTGATTTCAGATACATATTCCCATCACTATACCACCATCACTATCATAATCTCTGCATCTAGTTGCGGTGTTGCCAAATCATGGGTAGTAATATACCCTGATTTGGTTTGTTAAATTCTTACTTATATACCTACTAGTGCAAAACTGTGCATTCAGCACAGGATTGTCATGAAAATGCGATGTGGAGGTGTGTTTTACTGTAATACGAGTAAATCGAGTCCTACTACAGCATTAGCTAAATATATTTTTTTGAAGAATGCCGTATGCCTTTCACAAAAATACTTCGGTTATTGTTTTTCATATATTATAGATATAATCTATTTACTTTTTGTATGTATGTAATTGGAGAATTATTTAAAGTGAAGCTGATGTCACAAAATATAGCTAATTAAATGTGATATACTATATACCTATGAGAAAGTAGCTATTGCCAGTCACTAAATAATGAAAACATAACAAAGAGGAACATGCAAGTTTTTGATGATTTGATGAAATGGTCGATGATCTTTAGTTAACTATAACATTGGTGGACCTGGCGACGTGGTCCAAATCGATGAATCTAAGATGAATATTTTTATATGCAATGACCACTGGAGCTTTTTATATTTCTTACGTCACGCGAGTCGCTCGTGCATTTTCCACTATTTAGACACGTACTGTTCAAAATTGTATCTAATTTTCAGTAAATATTGGGATAACTTCTTATGAAACAAGCCATTTACAATAAACTAAGACTTTTATTTTAGAAACAATCTCATTTTTTGATTACGTATTTCTCCTAAAAAAAGTACAACTTGACAACAAAGAAATGGCATTGATAATTATTTGTACTTTCGAATATTTCTTATAAACGCAAAAACTTCGATCTCATTGGAAATACACGAAACAAAATGCTTAAGGAATTTCAAGAAGACATTAAAAAATCACACAGTTTACCAAGTAAATACCAGCATTGACTCTATGTATGTTGAGCTGATTACAGGGCTAGCTTTGAACCTTTTTTTTGCAAAAAACAACGATTTTCTATAGTTTCACATCTATTTTCCTGATAATTGCTGCTGATTTCTTCACTTTTTCAGAAAATAAGAAGTTCGGCGCTAAAGTATAGTCTTAAATGTATGTATTTGGAACTGTCATTTCAGCTTATTATATGGCTAGTTTTTAACCTTTTTGTTTGAAAAACCAACGATTTTTCAGATCTATTTTCCTTAGTACTATACAGTGGATGATATTTTCTTCTAATTTAGAGCATCTTTTTGTGCAAAAGCTAAAAAACCGGTATATAAAACATTATCTTATTCTAGAGTAAAACCACAAAAAATGCAACTTTGAAGTTCTATAAAATAGCAAGCAGAGGGTTCCTTGAAGATAAAAATGACATTTTCGTAAAGGTTACATCCTAGATTTTCAGTTTAAAATAAGAAATGGAATAATTGCGATCTGCGCTAAAGTACACTCTTATATTCTACTTGATGACATTCCCAAGATGCTAATCTTTAGGGGTTCCTTATGACACTCATCCACTTACGGATCGCACAGTTTGCGGTAAGCTTTTTCCAGGTTACTAAGTACAAGTTCATCCACTATACTACATCAGATGGATGTCAGCGATCCGAATAGCAGTTCTTCAAGGTGCAACTGTTTCGATGAAGTCATACGGATTGCCGATCACTGGGCGCATCACCACCTCTGTAACACGACTCTTCATTCATCTTCGTTTTGCCAGATGTGCTGATTATGGATTGAAAACCAAGTGCTGATGGTTACCATGTCAGCGATCCGATTGTGGATAAAATAGATCCACTATGATTATTTATGTATATGTATACAGCATGACACAAAAGTCCCGGAAGTGCTCTATGTAGGACAGGTTTTCAGTAACTTTTAGCGAGGAATTCAACGGTAATCTTGAATCTGACCTTGACCATCACCTTCAAGATTAATTTACGGTCAACTTCATTTTTTCAAATAGAAATCCCCATTTTTGTTGGCGCAATCGAAAGAACAGAGAGTTTTACGTTCAAGCACAGCTCTAAAGCCTAAGGTCAGGATGACTACTAAAGGTCAAATGAAGATCAAATGTTTGCTGTTAGGAAAAACTCTATAAGTCTCACAGGATGAGCGATGAAAATAACTATCAAGGTCCGGTGTTTGGCAAATTTTAACGAGGAAGTGAACGCAGACCTTGGATTTGACATTGACCTTTACCGACAAAGTTATTTCAAAGTCATCTTAATTTTTTTAAAGAAAAACCCTATTTTTTATGCCGGCAATCGAAAGAGCGTAAAATTTTACGTTCAAATACGAATTGCAGTCCAAGGTCAGGGTGCCGTCTAAAGGTCAAATGTGTACTGCTAGGAAAATCTCTATAAGTCTCACAAGATGAGTGATGAAAATAACTATCAAGGTCAGGCCTTTGATAAATTTTAAAGAGGGATTCAACGGTGATCTGAGACATAGCCTTGATTCCCACCTTCAAGATCAATTCAAGGTCAACTTAAGTTTCTTCAATGGAATCCCTATTTTTGAGGCAGCAAAAGTCACGTCAGAAATGATTTTTAACTGGTACTGTTCCTATGGGTTTCTACTTGAAAAAAACAATGACCTTGAAAAGACCTTGAAGGTCAAACCTAAGATCACTCGTCAACATGTACAACAGACCTGACCTTAATAGTTATATAGATAGATCTATGGAGGTTTTGCTAGCAGCACACGTTTGATCTTCAGTTGACGTAGTCATCCTGAGCTTAGACTTCAATTGATTTTCGAACGTAGTTTCCTGATATTTCGATTGCCGGAATCAAAAATGGCGGTTTAGATTTGAAAAAATAAAGTTGACAGTAAATTAACCGTGAATGTGAACTTCAAGGTCAAACTCACGGAAAGTTATTGAAGGCCTGACCTTGATCCTTTCCAAAAATACCTTACCTGAGAAAATACAGAGCCGATCCAGGACTTTTGTGCGATAGTCTGACGTTTACAAAGTGGAACTATTGGTTGATACCTTTACCGAATCGTTTCAACCACTTAGCTTCAACAAAGACTTTAAGATTATCAAGAACTGCCGCATGCAGTTGAAGATCATAAGAAGATCCAAAGAAGATTACATCATGGAACTACTAAGTAGCTACGTACTCAGCCTTTTGACACTGTCAAAAACTCATATTACTACCCAATCCCCTCCTATCCCAAAAAAAACTCTTTTTAATTGCTTGTGCATTCCTAAGGGTTTCCTATAGGCACTTATGAGAGTTTTGATACCATTTATATGTTGGTGGTCGTATGTTTCTGTAAGATCTCTTAACAATCCGTTTATGTACGAGTATTTATCGTCTTAAGACCGTGCAGTGAGTTTTCTAAGCATGTATTTCCTATCCTTGTTTCTTTGTACCTTGTCCTCATGTTCTATTCTTCGTGGTCGTACCCGAATGTAAGCTTTTCATATTTAAAGTATGATCCTAGCATGGACTGCGTTAGAATGAATTAAGTCTTGCTATAAGTGCTTGCTTAAGGACAAAAAAAATTGTAACGGTGTTGCCGAATTCTAGAAGGTATTTCTTGGTTTGTAGATTACGACTACTTGGTGTTTCCCAAACGTCCTTCGCAGACCTTCGACGACTACGGTCATCTACGATTTGGAAAAAAGAACGACTTGATCGACGACTACGACCATATGCGATTCGGCAAACGTAACGACATGTTCGATGACTACGATCATCTTCGATTCGGCAAGAAGGACCAGTTCTTCGACGACTATGGTCACATGCGGTACGGAAGAGGACATGATGACTCGTGATATTCTAAGATAACGAAAGGATTTTGAGTTGTATTGTAATAAATCTTTGTCAATAAAGGTCTGAAAAGAACAGCTGCGTATTTTAGGCTTTGTGTGAACGCAAATACATTTAACGATCCTTGATGTGCCCTGTTCACTGTAGCTTGAGAATCCGGCTTCAAAGTAGTCATAGCTTTGCACAATAATAATAATAATAATATTTATTATCCATCTTAACATGACAGTACATGTATTGGATCAGTGAAAATTGAATAAATACCTATAAGCTAATATTTCATTAATAAAAGCATTTGCCAAGTAAAAAATGTCTCAAGCGCTTTTTAAAGCTGATAACGGACTGCCTGCACTTAATATACTAAGTGACATATAAATCCGAACACCCAGTTTAAATAGTTTATTTTAATAAAATTTTGTATAAGTACTTAATGAAGCATAATAAGTAAATGATAAAAATTTCAAAATGATTGCACTGCTTTAAAGCGCTTTGACCTTTAATAATGTGTAGGTGCACCCTGATGTGCTACGCATTCTCCAACGCGCCTAGGCATGCTTCTGATCAGGTGGCCAATGTCCTCCTGTGGTATCTCATTCCGGGCAACCACCAAATTGAGCAATCTCCTACCCATCATATCCCACACGTGCTCAATTGGGGATAAGTCGGGAGATCTGGGTGGCCATGGTAACAATGTGACATCATTATGTTGAAAGAAGTCTATTGTGACTCTTGCAACTTGTGGTCGGGCATTATCTTGTTGGAAAGTTGGATCTGCCAGGGTGTCAAGATAGGGTAAAAGATGGGGTTCTAGAACTTCGTGGATATAACGCTGCGCGTTCATGTTACCTCTGATGAAGATTAAAGGTGACCTGGAACCATAAGCTATAGCACCCCAAACCATAACTCCAACAGTGTGATGAACATGTCTTTCAACAAAAAACTGTGAATTCCTCCTTTCACCACGTCGCCTTCTAACCCTGGCACGACCATCGTGCATGCCTAAACAAAATCGAGACTCGTCACGAAAGACAATACTGTTCCATTCCTGATCCCAGAGTGACCGTTGTTTGCACCACTCAAGGCGATTACGTCGGTGTTCTCGAGTTAAAGGGAGGATCCAGTGTGGCCGGTATGAAAACAAGCCAAAACTTCTCATTCGTCGGTAAACACTTCGCATGCCAATAGGTCTTCCGTGTTCTGCAAACCATTCATTTGCAATGGACCTGGTAGTGGAGAAACGGTCCCTTAAGGCCAATAATCTTAGGCGGCGATCTTCATGGTCTGTTGTTCTACGGCGGCGTCCAGTGCCGCTTGCCCTTTGCGTACGGCCTTCTCGAAGCCATGCCTGACAACACCTAACCAAAGTGTCTACACTTCTTTGCACTCTAACTGCAATTGCCCGAAAAGAAAGTCCAGCTATACGGCCCCTATCAAACTCACTAAGTTGACGAAATCGTACAGGTCTCCGTACTCTAGGCATCGTAACCGATCGTAAAGGATGTCAAGATCAAAAATCCGCCAACGTTAATTCTTTACTGCGGCTGAAATATTCATTTTTAGAGCGTTAGTGAATTAAAAAAAAAGCAGTATAAAACCGGAATGTCCAACTGATAAGGCTGAAATTTTTTTCACCTGTTATTTACAGTAAGATAAATACATTCACCAACTTTTATTAAAATAAAACCATTTAAACTGGGTGTTCAGATTTATATGTCACTTAGTATACATTTAACGATCCTTGATGTACCCTGTTCACTGTAGCTTGAGAATCCGAAAAGTAGTCATAGCTTTGCACAATAATAATAATATTTACTATCCACCTTAACATGACAGTCTATGTATTGGATCAGTCAAAATAGAATAAATACCTATAAGCTAATATTTAATTAATAAAAGCATTTGTCAAGTAAAAAATGTCTCAAGCATTTTTTAAAGCTGATAACGGACTGCCTGCACTTAATATCTATTAAACATTCTAGGTCCTAACACATTTGCTGACTCTCTAGAAGAATTATACTTCGCGAACGATATGTGCAGATGGGTGCTTTGCCTAGTGTTGACTCCATTAATTTGATTATTTAAAAGAAAGTTGTTCTGGTTCGAAAATAAATAATGAGTCTAGGGTCAGTATAAGATATTACTTAAGTAAGTCTCTACAGATACGCCTGGAGTTTACACCTGCCATACATCTTATCACCTTTTCCTGACTTACAAACACGTACTGAGAAGATGATGAGCAGCCCCAGAAGCACAGTCCATATCTCAATACAGTCTCAACTTGAGCATCAATAGTTGATGCTCAGCTAGAATAGTTCTTAAATTTTTCACGACAAATGACTGTGAATTCAGTCTTGAAACTACATTGTCACAGCGTATTCTAAAACTAAGGCTGTCGTCAACATGAATCCCAAAAAAGTTTACTTGGTGTTCTAATTGTAGGTTTGTAACTTTAATTTTTGAGCATCGTGGAACCTCAACGCTGATTCTTTTTCCGAATTGAGATTTAGGTGGTGTCTCAAGAATCACTCATCTAAAGCAATCAACAAACTATTACACTTACATATAACATTTACACCACAGACGTCATACACTGATATAGATGCTAAATAAAATTGGTCCTAAAATGGATCCTTGTGGCACACCCACGTTAACAGTGGTTGATGAGGATTTCACTTGCACAATTGTATAATTTTGTTTTTGTGTTTTAACTCCAAAATATCCCAACAGGGCACTCCATAGCTGGACCTTATGGGTGGAGTAACTATACCGTTTGAAGCTAACGGCATATTTTTTGGATCAGGCACTTTCCCAAAATTAAAATTAAAAATAAAAATTAAGGTAGAGTATTGTCGGGAACAGTGGCTGACTTTGTTTCAGTTGACTCTAATACTCACGAAGTCTTTACCAAATGGCTTGAAATTCGGTTATGAAATTTTGATTCTGTACCATTAAAATGTCCACTAAAAGTGCAAAAAACCAAAAACGATTTAAACAAAATAGAAATGAGCCACTGTGAACAGGTGGAGTACTACTGTGACACACCCCAGTGGCCCACAGAGGTTCTAAAAGTACACATTATTAATACTGAAATAATCAAAATCACACATACAAATTTATTGATGGAATCAGGTTCACAAGGAAATAGCATTTGAGACAGTCAAGTGTGGGAAATCACATCAGGCATGTGGTGGCCGAAATCGTTGATGCAGTGCTGAAGGCGTTCTTGGAAGTTCGCGTAGACTCTCTCCAACATCGCTCTCTCAACTTGGGCGACTTCCACGCGAATTTCGCCCTCAGTTCGTCTAGAGTTCCGAGCTTGTTCGCGTATACTCTAGCTTTGAGGTGATACAGCGGACCAAACCGTTGCTTTTGGGCTGTGCAGCGTTCTTTCGTGTAACTGTTGCGGATTTTCATTAGCCCAATAACGACAATTCTGCTGGTTAACCATGCTCTTAGGTGAAAGTGGGCTTCGTCACTCATAAACAAAATGAGGTTCTCATTTTGATCGATCAGTGCTTCCATCTCACGTGCGAAGTTCATTCGTTGTGCATAATCTCCGGGCTGTAACTGTTGCACAATGGCCAATTTGTAGATGTGAAAGCGGAGATCCATATGCAAAATTCGCCTCACCGAACGATCACTAAGGCGAAGTCCAGCAGCATGTTTCCGGGCAGATCGAGTCGGACTCGGAAGAAAGACCTGTCGAACGCGTTCAATATTTTCAGGAGTTCGAACTGTTCGCGGCGCTCCTCTTGGTCTTATGTCGATCAGTTCACCACGCCTGCAAAGTGATTCAACCCAACGAAGGATGGTGCGTCGAGAGGGAACAGCTCTATTCCGATGAATATTGAAGTGGCGACGAAACTCACGCTGTACGACGATGACTGACTCATTATTTCGCACGAAACAATCATAGGCGAAAACGCGGTGCTCGATCGTCCAAGGCTCCATAACGACAACTGGTAAAATAATGCTAGGATCTCACGAGTCAAACGGCACCCTCCCCACCTCTCTCGTACATGGAGGCGGAGCATACTACCCATCCCAAAAACGTCCGTCCTGTCTGCCTCACCCTGTACATGACTCAGAAAACACTTAAGAACTTCTACTTTAATAAGTCTCATTGTAACCATATACTATATAATAATAATAATTAGCAAACATAAAAATAAAATTAACAGTCTTCTGCAGCAAACATAAAAATATAATTAACAGTCTTCTATTTGACTTACACAACATTATTTTGTAAGGATTGCTTTGTACTTATAATGTTAGAAAAAACTTTTTCATTACAATCAGAGACAAGCAACTAATCTTTCCCCTTAAGCTCATCGAATAATCAAAGTTTGTAGAACACAACATACTAACCACTGTTACCTTTTGCGATCGATAAGAGTCATGATGACCGACGCGCTGTCGTCATGTGTGTTTTAAATATTCAATTTAACGAAATTTACTTACTGCCTACAAATTTTGGCTTAACTTAGAAAAACTTAATGCCATTTATTTGTTAATTACCCAATATAAAAACGTTTTAGATTAGATTATAAAAATTAGTAAGATTGTAGTGAAGCACTTAAAGTTGTAAACTATAAAGCCATTTAGACAAAAATCGTCTGCGGTCCAAAGGCAACATGTTGGCTCGCCTTTACGAACTGAAAGAAGAGGTAATTCTTCTTTTAAATAAACTAAATAAGTTAGGTGCACTTGGTTTCACATATGATGCTAGGGAGTTGATGAAATCTTACTTATCCGATCGTAGACAATTTGTTAGCTATAATGGCTTCCAATCTGAGACCTACTTGGCACCTTCTGGAGTTCCTCAGGGGTCCAAACTGGGACCATTACTGTTTTTGATATTTATTAATTACCTCTGTGACTCAGTTGAATGTGAACGCCTATGCTTTGCTGACGACCTAAAAATTTATTCGCAGATAAATACTCCTAATGATTGTATCAAGCTACAACACCAATTAAATTTTGTGCTGTCTTGGTGTGTAGAAAACAAGTTGGAGCTTAATGTGAGGAAGTGTAAAATAGTCAGCTATACCAGAAAAATTAATGTTTGCGAATATCCGTACTCTATTGATGGGTCTGTGCTAGAAAGATGCTCTGATGTACGTGATTTAGGTATAAT